AGCTGCGAGCTGCTTTAAACAATCAAGCAAACAATGCGAAATAAACAATGCAATGCAAACCAACTGCCCATAAAATACGTAGACTGGTCCGCGCTCGACAGTTCCACTCGCGTTACACATCCAAGAAATCCGGTATTTAGCGTTCACACGAGGCAAAATACGAAGCCCAAAAAATACGGTATCTAAACAGATCCGGTATTTCATGTAAATACGAGGCTTCCCAGACCCCGAAGAATTTGCCGTGCTTGAGAAATACCGGATTTCTTGGACCGCGCATTTCCTCGTGTGAACGCTAAATACCGGATTTCTGAAGCCGCGTATTTTATAGACTGGTCCGCGCTCGACAGTTCCCGTGTAACGCGGACCAGTCTACGTATTTTATCGGCAGTTGGTGCGCATTGCATTGTTTATTTCGCATTGTTTGCTTGATTGTTACTAAGCAGCTCGCAGCTCGCAAATACCGTATTTCTGGAGCCGCGAATCAGCGTGTGAACGCTCGGCCGCGTATTTGTCTCAGATTCGGTATTTCGCAAATACCGTATTTCTGGAGCCACAAATCAGCGTGTGAACGCTCGGCCGCGTATTTGTCTCAGATACGGTATTTCGCAAATCCGGTATTTTAGAAATACGAGGTCTCGTGTGAACGAGGCTTATATCAGAAGTAGATAATAGTGAAATAGGATAATTCCCTATTATCTACTTCTGCTAATATGTAATTATCGTTTAACTACCTACCCCTAACTACGAATGGACGAATCGCTGTAAGTTCGAATTCTGGGCTGAAAGTAACAAATATATTTAGACTGTCCTACGCAAATATAAAGATCATACGAATTCCGACTTATCTTTGGTGGTTGCATGCACGCACCTAATACTTAAACTAAACGTAACTAAAACTTATTTACCGTGCAGTCGCTCTGTTCGCTTTGTAAACCTCTCTTAGCTTTTAATAGTAATAGCTTTTAACTATTGCTGACATAAGAAAAGATCACACGGGCAGATACGTACACGTGCGCGTGTACGAACAACACACATACACTTGCACACACGCACACATGCACTAACACACACACACACACACACACACACACGCGCGCGCACGCACACACCCATACTCACACACGCACAAACGCATGCACACACGCACACGCGCGCACACACACACACACACACGCGCGCGCACGCACACACCCATACTCACACACGCACAAACGCATGCACACACGCACACGCGCGCACACACACACACACACACGCGCGCGCACGCACACACCCATACTCACACACGCACAAACGCATGCACACACGCACACGCGCGCACACACACACACACACACGCGCGCGCACGCACACACCCATACTCACACACGCACAAACGCATGCACACACGCACACGCGCGCACACACACACACACACACCCACACACACACACACACACACACACACACACACACACACACACACA